TAATGTGTGTGTGTGTGTATAAGTATATGAGATGGACATTTGATTAAACCATTAGATTGACAAAAATAAAATTTAATTACAAAAAGTATTTGAATGGCATAAAATAGGTTTTTATCTATTATTATTATTATTTTTTAAATAAAAAAAATGAAAGAAAAAAAAGAATATTACAGAATTTAACAATACTAGACACGCGCTAAAGAATTAGCATGTGTTTGCACTCACAACTATGAATTTTACTTTTTAATTTTTTTTAATGTTTTTCTTTTAATTAAAAGTATAATAATACATGTAACGAAAAATATAAGTTCAAATATTATTTTTCAAGCAAAGGAAAAAAAAAAAGAATCTTTTAAATAAATTCAGACAATTGGACAAATTGCATAAAACCACCTTTAATTTGGTTGGTGAGGGTATTTTTGGCAAAAAAACAAAAAAACCTTCTCGATTAGTTGAGGGGGGCTTAGTGACAAAAATATAGTAAAGGGGGGTTTGCAAAATGGTGAAAGTCAAGGGAGGTTAAATGTAGTTTACCCTAATTTTTATTTTCTTAAATCTAATATTATTTTTTAATTAATCCATAGTATATTTTAATTGCATTGAATTCTATTTTTTTTTTTTTATTTTAAGAATAGGGATTATTACATATAAATGGTGCTAATAATCCATATTTTTCATTTGATAGAGTCAAAGTCTCATATTTTAAAAAAAATGAAAATATAAAAAATACTATTTACTCTAGCAAAGGTACCACTTTTTGTCATCAGGTACCACTTTTTTTGTTGTACAAAAAATCGTATTTAATGTACAAAAAGTGGTACTTATGTGCACAAAAAGTGATACTTCTATGCCAAAAACAAAAGTGGTACCTGATGCACAAAAAATTATTCTTATGTACCTAAAAGTGGTACCTTGTGTTTTTCCATATCCAAGTCAACATTTTGGTCAAATTTATTTTTTTAAAACTACTATAAAACTTTGACTTCAACAGATGTTAAATATGGGTCATTACCCATTAACACTATTTATATGTAATAATTTTTAACAAATAATTACAAAATCTCAAAAAGTGTCTAAAACGTATTATTGCCATGTCCATATTATATTCCAACCGTATTCGATAATAAAAAAATAAAATATTCACTATTTAGATACTTTTAATTGTATTCGACATGTGTTCGGACCGTATCCGCTTATCTATAAAGTATTGAAAGATTTGAGATAGCTTAAAATAAGTACTTGTGCTTCCTAAAAAATAACCTTATCCTGATAAACAAAACCCAGACCTATAAATGTTAGACATATTAAAGTGGGTCACAAGAATTAGGATCAGAAAAGTCCAATTTTGATGAACAATGTTAAGGTCATTTGAGGGTTATAAAAGTGAGTTTGGCACAAGTAAATTAATAAAATAACAAATACAAAAATTATTTGATTTTGAAAATAGGAATGATAGTATATCCAGCAGGAATTAAGTTTTTGGTAATCCAAACTTGTATCCTTATGAATTATTAGAATTATTATTAATTCTATTAAAAGATTGTTTTCACATGTTTATGAGTGCGATGAAGAAAAGATAGAGAGATAAAGTAACATCTTGATATTATTTTGTTTTAAATATTTAATTATTTTCGTATTCATTTTATTTATTTATTATTATTTTTAAGCTGTTAATGTTACACTAAGGAATTCAGATCCTCTCATGTGACATATGTTGTATTTACGCAATAATTATATTAGATCGATTACATAACAACTTTACATGATTAATTCATGTTACAATATTGCATAACCAATATATTGTGTTGGTTGATTTATATTATAATATTACGTAACCGACATATTGTGTTGTGTAAATAGTACATGATGGCATGAATAAAACATTTCATTCCAGCCATTCTCTTATTTGATATGATATTTAGAATGAGAATGACTATTTGTTTGAAATGAAAATTCATTTTACATCTAAATAGATAGAATAAAAATTCATTATAAGGAATGAAATTGTTGGTCACTACCACCGCCACCACAATCCACTACTACCACCACCGCCACCACAACCACCGCCACCGCCACCGCCTTCCCCACCAACACCACCACCACCGCTACCAACGCCTTCCTTCGCACCACCAACACCGTTGTTGCCTTCCGCCATCGCTGCTATCACCTCCTTCCGTGCCACTTTCCGCCACCGCCGCCATCGTTGCCACCACCTTTCGCCACCACCACAGCTATCATTGCTGCCACCCTTCACTGCCACTGCCTTTCATCACCACTAACCATCACTTATAATCAAGGGCGGATGTAGGAGTGAGCTAAAGCCCACCAAAAAAAAAAAAAAAAAAAAAAAGATATCGTTTTGGCGCACATGACGCATTGAAGAGGATCCTCTTTAAGCCCACCACAAAAAAAAGGGTATCATTTTAGTGCACAGGAAGCATTGAAGGGATTCTTACGTCCATTTAGATTAAGAGAATGCTTCAATCGAATCCTCATTTGGTTTTAGAGAAAGAGGAGGGATGTGTCCATCCAACCTATCAAAATATGTATTAGAAGAATTTAGTGGTTAATATTGTATTGTGATAATTATGGACGATCCCAACCTTGGATGGAAGAGTAAATGTCATTGTTCTATTGTCTTTGATGACCTAGACTCTTTATTCAATTCTCAACAATAGCGAGAAAGATTAAAAAAAATAAAACAAAGAAAGGAATGAAATGGAATGAAAAACATAAAGTAATTTTCATATTTCCTCATCACTTTGCTACTTTTATAAAGAAAATTGAACTTGTACAAAGTTATAAGAAGCCCTTCTTCTTTTTCCCTTCATATTTTTAGATTTTATCACAAATTTATGATTTCTTTTCTTCCTTTTGTACCCAAATTGAGGCGTTATACATGAAGAAAAAATTGAATGATATCAAATCACACTTTCTTAGAAAAATTATTAGATAGTCTCATTTTGTTATCCAATCAAATCAAAATTAATGATTAAATTTCTTTATAATATCTTATTATATTCTTGCGAATCTAGTTTGTTTTAATCAAAGAGTCTTATTTCAAGTGGACTAGTGTTATAAGGGTCATTTGTCCCACATCGGAATCGGATGGGAAAGTGATTGGGTATAAATGGGTGGGTATGCAGCACTACCCAATAGTTCGAGCTTTTGGGTAAATGGGCAAGCGTCCACCCGTTACAGTTGGTATCAGAGCCAGACCCAGTCCTTGATTCGGTGTCATGCCAAGCGCTCGGCCCGGAAGGCGTCCGAGTGTGCCACCCCGGGCAGGCAGGGTGGCCCAACCGCAACGAGGGCGTTGCGAGTTCGGGTGGGGGAGAATGTTATAAGGGTCATTTGTCCCATATCGGAATCGGATGGGAAAGTGATTGGGTATAAATGGGTGGGTATGTAGCACTACCCAATAGTTCAAGCTTTTAGGTAAATGGGCAAGCGCTCACCCGCTACAACTAGTAAGTATCGTTGGTCTAACCATCTACTAATTTGTCTAGATTTCTAATATGTCTTTTACATTCCCAAAAAAATGAAAAAAAAGAAAAGAATTAGAAGAGTACAATTGATTTTGGACCTTTATTGTGTGTCCTATTGTGGAAGATGGACTTTGTATGGGTTGGGGCCCAACAATGCACATACCTTGTCCAGCCCACCTGGAAGCCAAGACTGGCCTAAACGCTGAACACTATGTAATTGAAATGTCTCTTCTATTTTGACAGATTTGAGTGCTTGGGTTATTTTTTTTTGGTAATGTAAAAGATGTGTGATCTTTGTAGATGTGACTATCTTTGATCTCAAAATCCCAAAGACCAAGGATTTGATGTCATACAAACGTACGTGTTTTGGAATTAGCCATAAATACTCTCACTTGTATGTCTATATGTGTTTGTGTAAGAATATATATATATATTCTCATTATCTTTTTATATTGCAGTATGATTTAGTGGAACTCATATTTAGTCGACAGTACATAAAAAATAATTTTTTTTATTATATTAGTTTTAGCTCAGTCAAAAAAAAAATATATTAATAGTATTAGTTTAGAATTTTGTTTCAGAGGCGGCACAATGCAATTGTTAAAAAAAAATAATAATAAAAAAATAATAATAATAATAAATATGACAAATAGAAAGTATAATTTTTTTAAATCGAAAAGGCAAAAAAGAAAAAAATAGTTGTAAAATAATATAGTGTAAAAAAAAAAAAAAAAGTAGTTACAGATATAAGAATCAAAATATTAATTAATAATATTTTAATTAAATAGAATCACAAATGTCATCAATAAAAATAAATAAGTTTAAAAAAAATAAAAAAAATGCATAATTATACATAAGTGGGAAAATTTTTTTGAAAAAGGAAACAAAAATTAGAAAAGGAAAAATATATTGTATACTTGAAGAAGGGATACATGTAAACTTTTTTTTTTTTTTTTTTTTTTTTCAAAAGGAAATTAGAAGAGTTTGAAAATTTGAGGGGGGCACTATTTAAAATTACCTTATAAGTATATGTATATACCAAAAATATGTACCCATGTATAATAAGTTGGAGCAAAATGAGGGGGGCATGTGCCCTTTCTAGGTCTTAATTGACTCCGCCCCTGACTCAGTTATCATTCTAAAATAAATGTTCAAGTCAAATAAATATAATGCCGCCTGACCCACGGTGACAAAGCGGATCTGCCTAGGGCCTCAAAATTTATAAGCCCATGGATGGATGATGGGCCGCCAGAAAAAATAAAAATATAGTTGTTCAAAATTTTAGTAGTTATTATTTTGATAATAAATTTTGTAATTTGTCAAACTCTAAATACATAATATCATTATCACTGTATTAGAGTCAAATCAGTCAAATCCTATAACTCCAGTATTAAACTTATTTTTTGACCCAAAAATTCGACCATTTGACGGGTTAGTTGTTTTTGACTATATAAAATATATCTATATATATCTATATATATATATATATCAGTATTTTTAGGGCAAATCAGTTCAGCCTCTCCATCTCTATTCTCGTTCTCAACTCTGAACTTGGCCTCTCTCTCTCTCACCCTGCAACTGCAAACTACAAAATCTGCAAGAATCAGAAGTTCAAAACCCATAAGTTCCAGTTAAACTATCTGTCTGCAAGAATCAAAAGTTCAAAACCTATTACCTATATCAAAACCCCCATATCGGCATATAATTTCAGATTGTTCAAAAAATAAAAACTCGTATCTTTCAGTTTCCATCGCCCGCTGTTCCAGTTCGGGTTCGCCGTTCGCAAGCTTCAGCCGCCGTCTCTCAACTCTCAAGCTTGCCCCCCCTCTCTCTGCAACTGCTAACTTTGTAAGTTTTTAAAATTTTTTTTTTTCTAAATCAACTAATCAAGCTCTGTAATTCTTGTTTTGCAAACTAAATCCTATCTAACGAAACACACCCTATGGATAACATGAATGGATCATCTAAATATTTTAAAATTATTTAGATAGACAGATTTTACTTAATTCAATTAAAATTAGAAGTGAATTTTTAAAATAAATCATTTTATTAGTTAAAACTCTTACCAATGTAATTTTCCTTTTATCTTTTAATTTTCTGGTTTTCTTGTGCGCGGTGTGGGTGGACACCATTGAATTAAATTAGAAATGGTTAAATAATCAAAATATAGTGTGTATATATATATATATATATATATATATATATATATATATCATTAATGTGTGGTAAGAGATTGTAAGAGATTCGAGTAGCTTTTTCTCTCTTCTGTGAAACAATCTCAGCCTTTTCTCTGTAAATTTTAGACTTTTTCTCTCTATACAGTACTACATCTACGTCTTCCATCTCTTTAGTACGAGTATCTTTTTTCCTCTTCCTGTCTCTCTCTCTGTCGCCAAAGAAAATGCCATTATTGAAGCACCAATTTAAAAGAAATTTGAAATCAAGAAACATTTTTCTTGAAATTTGAAATTTCTTTTTTCTGTCTCATCTTGTCTCACTCCATCACGTGAAGACTATATTTCCTTCTATCTGTGTATAAACCCATCTGCAATTACTACAATTTTGTATTGTATTGGTCATGGAATGATGTGGTTAAAGAAATTTGAATTTTCTTTTTACCTTTCGCAATTATCTGGTCAAAGAAAGTACCTATGTTATCAATGGCACTAGCTCTGTTGCTTATTACTCAGGCCCCAAGAAAAAATTAGGTCTTATAGGAGTTTTGTTTTTTGTGTGGGAAAGTGGGAAGGGATTATTATGATTGATTAGAACGGGAAAGAATCATCTGATTCAGATTTGAAATTGATTTTATGATAGAGAGATGGAAAGATACCTCATACATTATTGTAGGCAGATTTGAATCTGATTCCATGTGTTTTGAGTCTGGTGATATAATTAATGGTTTTAGGTAAGATACGAATAATTGAGTTGAGGCATAGACGATGTTAGTAGTCTACTATAAAAAAAACACATGGAATCAAATTCAAATCTGCTTACAATAATATAGAAGATTGGGGCGGTACTAATGGGAAATTGGATTGGGCTAGGAAAAAAAAAAAAATCTGTTTAATCAGAGGAGAATTGCTCAAAAATCTTGCAATCATGTACTACTGACATGGTGTAGCCTCAACTCAATTATTCATATCCTACCTAAAATCATTAATTGTATCATCAAACTCAAAACACATTGAATCAAATTCAAATCTGCTTACAATAATACAGAAGATTGGAGCGGTCCTAATGGGAAATTGGATTGGGCTAGGAAAAAAAAGTAAATCTGTTTAATCAGAGGAGAATTGCTCAAAAATCTTGCAATCATGTAATGCATTAGTAGTTTAAAATGCATATAAGAACATAGATAACTCATTAAATACTGAATAAAGGTTCAAGCTCAATAAGATCAATTAAAGAAAAATTATTGCAACTATTAGAATTTTATAGTACATTGTACACACTATCTTCTAGTAGTACACCACATTTGATAATGTAGCACATCACCATTGACAATGTAGCATACCACCATTGACATAACACACATTTTTTTTTTATTACTTATCAAAGGTGGTGTACTACTAGAAGATAGTGTATATAATGTGCTATAATATATTAACAGCAACATCTCCTTTAATGATCACTTTTTATTACTCTTTATTTGATAACCAATTTGAATATTACTCAAAATAGTAGTAACTAACTCTTAAAATAAAGTAAAATTTTAAGTGACATAGATATCACTTATCATCGAATGCTAAACATTAAAAATTAAAAATTATATATCAAAAACTATTAATTTTCTATTATTTATATAAGAAATCACAAAATCCAAGAGAGCATTCTCTTCTCTCTCTCTCCCTCTATCATCATCACTCCAATGCAGAATCTTTACAGTCTATGCTATCTTTACGGTCCTATCCCTTATGTGTTTCAATAATTACATTCCTTGCCATAAGTCTTAGTGGGTAATAGCTGTGGACAAAAACCCTATTGAATCGATAATGGACTGGGAAAATCAAACTGATGTTGATTTAGAAAAAAAATAAACTTGAATTTAGGGTGTTTAATTTCAAATAATATATATTTAACTTGAATATATGCACACCAGCCCTGGTCAGTCCATTCCCACAAGGTACTTATCCGATTTGGTGGCTTCTTTTGATATCTCTCTTTACCCAACTCTCTCTTAACATTTTCTCTCTCCTATATAACTCGGCTGGTCATCACAGTGTCCTGCGAAGTTAGATGGTTATCACTTCATTTGCAACAGTGATGGCGTCTTCCCTTTTGCGTGTTGATTACTACATTGGCAGAAGTGGAGCTTTGGGGCAAATATCACATGGGTTTAATTAGTTATGTGTATTTGGAATGCCCAGCAACATGCCAACATTAAATGGGCCCACTTTATCTCCACAAATCGATGGACCCCATTTTCGTAATGGACCTCCACGTGGCATCTAATTGTTTGCGGGGCAATTCGCCAGCGATTTCTTTTGAAGTAGTACTCCTTCCGTCCCATTTTAGATGTCGCATTCGGGAACTGTGACTCACATGAGTCATAGTTCCCGAAGGCGACATCTAAAATGGGACAGAGGGAGTAGTAAATAACATGGTGTTGCTTTTCTCTGGTTGCCCTTGGTCGGTGAGAGTTGGCGCTGACACCCACTTTACCCTTTCACGAGTCATAGTTCCCGAAGGTTTCCGAAGGCGACATCTAAAATGGGACAGAGGGAGTAGTAAATAACATGGTGTTGCTTTTCCTAGGTTGCCCTTGGTCGGTGAGAGTTGGCGTTGACACCCACTTTACCCTTTCATTAATACGGAGTAATACTATTTATTTTTTTATTTATAAAGAAAAGAAGCTTCATAATAGCAAATATTGATAATGACAACTTAGGATATGAGCCCTTGATGCTTCTTCACCTTAGACCAAATTAGTAATATCTTCGTAATGTATAAAGTTTAAACACACACATTTAAAAGTTGTGTATTGTGAGACTTGAAAAATAATACTGTCTTTCGATATTTTTTATGAATTTATATTTATTATGATTTTGTATAAATTGGCACTTACTTGTGGTGGTCCAGACTCAATTGCTTATAACATAGAGGTAACACATATCACTTATGTTTGAATTTGTTGGATAATTCAGAATGTTAGAACACAACTTAACACAAAACAATGAGATTTTGATTTTTTTTTTTTTTTTTGGTAATATGATGCAATCAGATTTTAAACATAACTTGATTATATTAGAGTTGTGTCAAACAAACAAAAATAAAAATAATAATAAAATAGTGTACAAGATATTATTACCATTTTCCTTGTTATGGATAAAGTTGACAAAGAATCTTTTGTATATGGGCAAATTACACAAAGAATCTTTTGTATATGGACAAATTACACAAACCACCCATGAGGTTTCTATATTGTGCATGTAGATAGAAGTTATAGCAATATTACACAAAGGTGCATATTGACTGCTTGACCACAAAAAATAAATATAAATTTACACTTCTGACTTTAAAATTAAAATATTTATTTTTAATAAAAAAAATTAAAGATATTGTATATTTGGAAGTTTCATTTTTGCCCCTGGGTACACCCCATGGCTTCCCTACCACATCACTCCTCTTTTCTCTCTCTAAACACATCAATCGAATTATGCGTTTCCAAGGAGACGAAGAAGTTGGGACGACGCCGAGCCAAGTTGCCGGAAAATCATCTATGTTCCGGTACAATTCACCCCTTGTTCAGGTGGGTCTTATTGGACTAGTGTGTTTCTGTTGCTCTGGCATGTTCAATGTCCCTATCGGGTATAGGCGGTGGTGGGCAGGTCGACCACACGGCCGCGAACAACGACAACACCACTGAGCAAAAGGACTCTCGGCAGTGAAATGCAGCGATGGCTCGGAACGGCTGTAGAATTGAATCGCCGTGGATGACTCGCGGCGGCTGTAGCTGTAGATGAACTGCGGCAGTGCACGGCAAGACGAATCTGGCTTTGGCGACGGCAGACCATCATCATCATCCCCAATTCACCCCTCCTCAACTCCACCCATCAGTCATGCTCGTCCATCACCCAAGTCCCACCTCACCAACGCTGCAACCCTAACTCTCTTCTCTAACGCTGCAACGCCCCTTTGCTCATCCATCACCCAACCCTAACTCTCACCACCAACAACGCGCTGCTAATGGAAAAAAGATGGGATCGTACTCTGAACTTGGTGGGAATGGAAGTCAAGAATCATCCTTAGCGATGTGGAGGAAAAAAATTGGCGATCTGAGGAAGAAGACGACTGCCGCGGTGTGAGGGGCGTGCCGAGCATCTGCACGCGATTTGTAGTTACCGGCGCGTGTTGAAGGCATGAAATTATGTCGTCGCCACCACTACTGCAAATCGATTTATTGATGACGATTTGGTTAACCTGTGGCCGCCACCTGCAAATCAAGACTGGTGTTGTAGTGATGTTGCAATCTCTGGCACCATCCATACCAAGTTTTGATTCAAACCCAAGCGGTTTGTAGGTGGGTGATGAAAGGTCAGATTTGAAGGTTTGGTGGTTCAGTTTATCTGGACGGTCAGTTTGCATCTCTCTTCGATGAGGTTCAATACGACTGTTGTTGCAAATCCATCTTTGCCGGCGACCACAAACCCAAAATCCTTGCTTGGTGATGGGTTAAGAGCAAAACCGTAACTTTAACAATGCACAATTTTTTTTTTACATTTTTTCATTAAACAAATAGTTTAACTCTAAGGACAAAAATGTAAATTCATATCAATCCACTAACCACAAACAGTTAATTTGGGCCTTTCTGTTATATTGTGGCCATCTTCTATCTACATGTACAA